ACCCTCGCTGATAGTACAAGGACTGAAAGGTTTAGTTACAGATAATGGCTGTGCTGCCCTTATAGGTGTAGCAGAGCAATTCCAAACAAGGTGCCCCTTATTTCCTCAACGAAAACAAATGGCCTGGTTTTTACCCTTTCCTCCAGGCTGTGGAGGAATAACCTGAGTAACAGCTGCTGCCAAAGTAGCCCCCTGTACATATGAGGGGCCAATATCTGCACAGATCCAAATCATATTGATAAGTCACAAGACAACCCCCGCCCCGTGGAAGATTTAAGCTTTTATTAAGGAGTTAATAAAAACTCCTTCCTCTTCACCTGTTCCCCTCCAGTTCCCCTCGACAAAAGCCAACCTCACCCTCATCCACCTTGGCAGAACCAGACGTTCAACTCTGAAGAACGACAACCCCCTGCTTGGGCTGTTCTGGCCCATGGACACCCCCTCCCCAAAAGCTTAAAAACCTCATGCTTTGCTCAGCTCCCTGCTGTACTAATCCACTGGGCAGCCCGCCATGTCGCTCCCCCCAATAAAGACTCCTCTCGTGTCAGAAGGTCAGGTCTGGTTCTGTGTGGGTCTGGACCCTATCATATCACATATCTAGCAAGCGGCCCGCCTTTTGTGGGCTCTTAAAGCCTCTTTACGCCATTTATTTGCATTTTCAAAGGCTAGCTGCTGAACTACTAATTTGGTAGCTTCTGTGTTATTTATAATCCTCTCACGAGCCTGCAATAAGTGTGAGGCGAAATTTTGAAAAATTTCCTCAGGGCCCTGATGAATAGAAGCCAAATTGAGGGCTGCCTCTCCCTTAGACAGAAGTTCCCTCCAAGCCCTCATGGCAGCCATCTTGCTTTGTTCATATGCTGGCAGTTCAAAGGTCAGTTGATTGTTTGTGGTAGCAAAGGCACCTTCCCCAATGAGCATATCTTTTGTAATGGTTATGTGGTGAATAGTATTCGAGAGGCCTGGTCAGTGCAGTACTCAAGGAAGTTTCCTTTTCAAATTAAATAGTCTCCTGGACTTATGCCTTAGGTATTCCTTTCCAATCATTTGGGGCCATAATCTGTTGTCCTAGAATTTCCAATAAACTCAAGGTAAAGGGAGCAGTAGGACCATAAGTAGCAACTGCTTGTTTTAATTTTTTAAAGTTTTAAGAGGTATAGCTTCATATCAATGTATAACTTGTCCGAGATTTTCGGGGACTTGAACTTCAATAACAGGGTACATATGTTGAAAACCCTCCATGGGCTCCCCTGCCCATCTGGCTTCTTTTAATGTTAATTGCAAAGGAGACAGAGAAAATGGCTCTACTCCCTGAGAGGCAGAAGTTCCAACCGGCGCCACAGCAAAATTTCTCCTAGATGAAGAGGCTGGAACAGCTGCCTGTGGCTCAGTCAATTCCATGCAGCGTTGTGAAATAAGAGTTCACGGGGAAACATCTCTGTAGGCGGGGAAAAGTCCCTTTTGTCACCCACCATTTCTTCCTTAAATTGGACCAGGGTAGAGGGCTCAGGCTCTATTGGCAGAACCATTTTCCACCCTCCATGTCTCGCTTAGGCTCCAGACTTGATTTTAACATAACGTTTTGAGCCAAATCCCTTATGGTTACAAACCCCTCCAAACCAACATCCAGAAAATTAAATATAGGAGTCAAACATGCAATAAACACTTCCACAGACATATACCCTGGGAGTCTTGAGCCTCTACCTGCACTTCAATGTCCCTTTCTCTTCTGACTTCTTAAAAGCCTGTGTATCTTCTAGCCCTACAGAACATATATCCCCATGCTTTGCACCTGACGTGCCGGTACCATGCACTCCCATGCTGAATACCAGCTTTCACAAATGCGCTTCCCCTCTTCTGTTCCATGCTCTTGGGAAGCGTACCCACTGCCCACTTATTATCTCTCACCGATGTCCAGTGCGGGGGGGCCAGATATAGCGAACCTCATTGGTCTCTTGTTGTACCCTGGAGAAAAATGGCGGCGAGTATGAGAAAAATAAAGACAAGAGACAAGGGCTGGGGCCAGGCTGAGGTCCTCTCTCCTGAGTGGAGAAGGGGAACTGCCCAAAAACAGTACACTGCTTATTTATACCCTGGAGAGTTTGGTCAATTTCCGCCTCCCTGCCCAGCAACCAGTTAACAAGTTACAATGGCTTGTTTACTCTGAGGAGCACCTATGTTCTTGGGTTGATTTCACCCTGCACGTGTAATTATTTTCCAGCTTCAGCGGCTCCCAACACCTGTTACTTATTATGTATTTTTCTATTTTGCTCTTTATATTTCACGTTTCTCATGAAAGAGAAATTGTGCAATATTTAAGCTCGTGTGTCTTATTTCACTTACCATTATGGTCTGAGGTACATTTTTCTAAAAATGAGTCAAATTTATTACTCTTTATGGCAGAACAGTACTCCACATACCACATTTGTGTATAAATATATTTTCTTTATCCATTCATCTCTTTGATAGTTAATTCCAAATTTAGTTATTGTAAGTTGTGCTGCTATAAACATGGGTGTGCATGTACCACTTTTTTGGTGCAGATACCTACAGAGGGAATAGCTGAGTCAAATGGAATTTCTAGTTTTAATTTTTGAGGATTCTCCGTACTGATTTTTTTTGTTGTTGTTTTGTCTTTTTGAGGCAGGGTCTCGCTCTGCAGTTCAGGCTGGCCTTGAGCTCACTTTGTAGCCCAGGCTGGTCTTGGCCTCATGACGATCCTCCTGCCTCAGCCTCCCAAGTGCTGGGATTACGGGCATGTGCCACCACGCCTGGCTCTGCGTACTGATTTACAGAGCGGTTGCCCTGGTCTATATCCCCACCAACAATGTAGAAGGGTTCCTTTTTTCCCCACAGCGGTAATATATTAACATTTGTCTCTAATGCTTGCTAATCTCCTTTTTAAAATAAAGACAGAAGAAACCCTATTTCGAATCATTTTTTATTCATTACACTTATACTCACTGTTGTTTTTTCTTTATGTCAAGTTACTGTACCAGTTCCGTTCAATGGTAGTCACACAATTTTCATTTAAAGCAAATGTATTCACATGTAAAAGTTAAAGAGAAATAGTATGCACAGTATACAATGGTGGTTCTAGGCTCTTCTGAGGTCTCTTCTCAAGCAAAATCTCAACTATGGCCTATAAAATCTAGAGCCCTTCAACACCAATGGTATCATCTACCCCCTACTTTACCCGTAAAATAAAATACTTGAAAAAGCGTTAAGACCGTGTCAGGTTTGGCTTGGACATGACCTTCCCCGCACCCAACCTGTTTGTCAATGGCAGCACTGTTTTCAGAGAAAACCCAGCTCAGCCTTCAACAAACACAAGACAGAATGTCCTAAAGAAGAGATAAGACAGAAACAAAATTTTCCAAGTGCCACGACATCAAAAACATTTATACATTTACATGAGATGCCCCAATGATTTTGACTGCTGAGGCACCAAATATTTGGAGAACTTTGACTAGGGATGTTTGCCCAGGCCTCATCACCTGAAGCCCCTTGGTTCAGCCCTATAAAACAGGCTCCATTTTTTTCTCTGTACCCCCACAGAGGGTCTTTTCATCTTGTCTGTCGGTCTGCAGCCAGGCACAATAAATTTCACACCATGTTGCCTTTACACAGCCTGGTCGTCTCAGCTGATCTCCGCCTCATGTCATTGCTTACATACAGCTTTTAACAGCTCAGCTGTTAATGATGATAACTACACGCCCTTCAATTCCTGTCTGGGAAGGGCCCAAAGGCTTTGTTCCAGCCAATATGTGAAGATAGGGGCCCAGTCTCCCAGCTTTTGTCAGGGTGTAGGAGACCAACTTTCTTAAACACCACTTAAAAAAGCAGAGAGGGTTCCCACTGACCTCTCCAATCTTTTATAAATTTCCACTCCCCCAACTATTCAGTTCTACTTGTTTTGCTTCCCTATCATCCCCCTTGAAAATTTAGTCAACTGTGTTCCAGTCTAAGTTGAGTTCAGTTCACTCTGGACCATGTTCTCTACTGTGGTATGTGACTACTCAAAAATCTCTTCTTAGCATTTCAGTGACAGGCTATGTCTACCTTTGCTCGAAGATCCGTGAGGATAATATTCAAATCATTAGAATCTACGCACACTGTCTTAAAGTATCGTGCCCGGTTGCATTTAAAGAAACAAAGATGACATTAGAATTAGCTGTGTAACAAGGACTGCTTTGAGTCACAATAGTTCTATAAAAAAGAGCCTGTTAATAGAACTTTTTGATCCCAAGAAACCTGCTAAATGAAGACATGCTCAGAGGATTTGGAAACCATATGTAGGATTTCAGTCAAAAGGGCGAAGTGAACACAGCTGCCGTGTTCCTCCTTCACACTCAACTCTGCATACTCCGGAAAAGTCCTCGGAAAACACTGGGAGACACGCCCTCCCTCTATTCTTGCTTAGCCAGAGCTCTGTGCTTTGTAAGGTAATATGACGAAATAACAACTTGAAGATCCTGAAGATATGCATTCAAAATAGACGTTTTTCTCCTCCAAAACTTTCCCGGATTCAGTGTTACAATCAAAGGTCTCCCGTTTCTGATGTACTTTCAGTAACTGGCAACACGAGGAATACACGCAGACTTGCAAATTTTAAGTTTCTATTAGCTTCTTACGAGGCCAAGGCCCACTGACGTGCTGAAAGCATCCTTACTCCTCGACCTAGACCTCGGCTCCTGCAGCTCTCCCTTCCACGTGTGGGCAGACGACCTGCACCGCCGGCATGGCCATCAGATTCGCAGGCGCACATCTGGCTCTAGCACTCCCTCTACCGGCGTGTTCCCGTGCAAGTCACCCGGTCTGCGCTTCCTGAGGCAACATGGGGACTGCTGGGACACACACCGTCGGAAAGCACCGAGCAACAAACGCAAACATCCGCTACGCTCTTACAATCCCTAGCATAGCTCGGGGACCGCAAGCCTCCGCTCACGTCAGCTCCGCACGCCCTACGCGGCGACGAGATGACGTCAGGACGTCGTGCGTGCGTCAGCGAGCGCGCCGGTGCCCGGCGTCCGCCCGGTAGTGTAGGTGACAGCTGAGGTCATCTCCACGGGGTCTGAGTCTTCCTGTGCGGCCTGGCGGAGGCGCGTAGGAACAAGCGCAGCCTTGAGCGATGGCCACGCCGCCCCTGCGGACCTTCTCCTGACTGCGCGGGCCCGGGCCATGTGGACCCTCGCGGGCCGCGGCTGCCGGCGC